TTCATGTCTGGGATTAATCAATCATGTTTTTGGGAGACGAACTTATGGCACACGTGGATTTGACCAGAATAATTGCTCCCTCATCTCTTTCTTACTCTCCCTTATTTATTTATATACTCAACTACAGTTGAGGCATAACTGCAGGGAGATGAATCATATTTAATTCCTCTATGTTTTATTTTTCTATGCCATCTTTCTAACCAATAGAAAAACAATTTATGTAAAAAGAACTACAATAAAACTTCAGAACATGCTAATTCCTAATTTTGTTGTTTCTTGCTTGTAATTCTCTCTGTGTCAGATCTAAATTAACAATCTTCCACAGCCAGCGATGTTAATTCACACCAAGATATTGTTTCTCTTATTTCTTCAATGATTAGCTAATATAGCTTAATTTTAGCAAAGAGTATGCATATTAAATGGCCTGCTGCAATCAAAATGCTTTTTAGTTTTGAAGTTTCTTTAATGCATTTACAAATGCATTCTTTGAGATAATACGTATTTATACTACTGAGAATTCCTTCCTGTATGGAGATAATTTCATTTGCGCAAATTACAAAAATATAAGTATAAATAAATTAGGAAAAGCTGTCTCTACTCATGAGTAGTGAAAGGCAGAAAATAAATTTGTCACAGCCATAAAAAGAACAATTCACCGGAGGAGGACGCTGGGACAGGATGGCTCAGGGGATGGATAATTGGATATACAGGTTTTCACATCTAGGACACTAGCACCAATCTAACCTAAAGGCCTTTTTTTTGCTAACTTATGCATATAAGTAATTTTTGCACAAGAGCAGTCCAAGAAAGGAAAACAAAATATTAAGCTGCATGAGGAACAGAATAGAAAAGAACATAACAAAACAACATAGCCATCTGCCTTTTCAAAAACTAATAGCAACTTTTTTGAGAGACCTCCAATTTGCATCAGGTTAGAGAGAAATAATTTTTTTTCATTCCCAGTGCGTCTTATTCAGATGTTTTCTACGTGAACTACAGTTACACAATGCTGAGGGCAGAATTTGGCCATAGGAACATAGGGAAAAAATACAAAAGAAGTTCATGTTTTGATGTTTTAGTTCAATGTTCCCCAAAGCTGATTGATCAGTATTTTAGAAAAGTGCATTCGGAAGTAGATCCCTATTACCTCCTCACTTATACTACATCCAACTTGATCTTGGGCTGTATGGATCCTCCAGTCAACCAACTGCTAATAAGATGCACATCCCCCTCCCCATCAAGCTGGGAAAAATATCATCATCATGGCCCATTCTAAAGATTATGCAATATGCTTCCTCTATCTTCACTGCTCCTGTAATCAAGGGGTCTGGGTTTTCTGTGAATTTAGGCCCACAGGTTTTACATTTTCATTATTCAGCAAGTAGGACAAACTTGGCAGGGTTATGCATCCTCCAAGTCAGGATCCTGCAGCTATTCTGTAGTTTTGGGGATATTGGAGAACATTTTATTTCCAAATTTTCAGGTCAGTGGGATTCATCAGGCACATATATGTTTTCCACTAGTGAAATATACTCATTATATACTTTGTGTTCTTGATTATTCAGTTGTTTTAGATGGTCTCCCAGCAGAAAATCTCATGTAGATGCCAGTATTAAGTGCTTTAGATAAGCCTCAAGTACTTTTGGATGCAAGTTTATTTAGCTACCACTAGATGACAGTATAATCTACTGCTACAGTACCAAAGTCAGCATTTCAATATATTAAAATACCATATTATTCCCTGCACTAGTAGTTGGTAAGCATCATTTAATCCGAGGCCACTGTACTTCAGTGGGAAAAAATAACCCAAAGTTCTAGTCATGAATTACCTGTGAGGATGAAAATATTGCTAGCTAGTTCTGTAGTAGTGTCAGACAGAGGAGATTCCAGAAGGTAGAGACTCTAATGTAAACTGGGGTAGCTGATATCAGAATCTCTCTACAGGCCCTAATTGCCCACTGCCTTGCAGCTCAGGTAGTCATTTACACCTGTGCAGAGTGGTCATAAAATGCTGCCTTCAGACTCCGTGGTGATTTTACACCGAGGTGTAAATAACTGCACAAGATGCAAAAGCGTGGCAAATCGGGCCAATTTCTTTAAATTGGTTAGAAATAAAACTGTCAGCATCCTAGAGTAAGTGACCATTGGATTTATCCCTATATTTCTTACACAATAGGCCAGCTAATTCAATTGTTGATTATGCTCTTGCGCCTTTTGGTATTTTCACTACTAGATTTGAAAAAAAAAATGTTGAGTCTGAATTTGTAGATTTTTTTGGCAAACAAAAGTAATGCTGTTCTTTATATTAACTGACCTGGCTCCTCTTTTCCCTAATGACATGCGTAGAAATTAACTGTAACATAAGAGCGGATTTATAGAGGACTTCTTGCACTGTTTACAAAGTTTACTTTAATGTCTCTTTTTTAATTCCAGCTTTAGAAATGTATTATCTTGGTTAATGCACATCCTGCTGAGACTTATTGTAATGAATGGAATGTAGTGGAAGAGCCATGTATACCACACTATATACAACAGAAGTGTGATATCGATAACCTCCTTAAGCAGACTGCTAACCACCTCCAGCTGGGATAGTCAACTCTAGGTTAGTTTGGCAAAGATAGATATATGTCTAATAGTCCTAGACCTCTCCAAAAAATGTGCTCATCATTTTCAAAGGCAAATGGCTCTTACATGATTAACACTCCTTAATAAACGAATCTCTGTTTGTAGCCACAATTTCTGGCTAGGGCTTTCACCGCTGGGAAATGATGCAGCCCAACTGGACTTTACAAAATGTAAGGCTATACTTTTGTCACAGGAATACCCGCCACCATGTTTTTCATTTTATCTAAAAACAAACAAACAAACAAAC